TCTCTTCAGTGGTCGATGACTTCATCATCACCGTCATAAGCCATTGTCGATTCACTGCCAGATGAAGATCCCTCCAACACTTCGCCATAAAATTATGTTTTCGGCCATTTCCATCCATCTTGATCCAGCCAACTGCTTCAGTTCGTCCCGCCGTTGATCTGGTCGCCTTCGCACTAGACATCTGTTCTCTGTTGCGGTCCATTTTAATGTCCCTTTGGTCTTGAAATGATTGGTTCTTCTTGCAAACTATACGGCCTACTTCTACTTAAACTACTTCACTGAGGCAATGACCTCGCAACCTCATGTTTGCGCGATCTTCCATTCATTCGTTTTCCTATTCTTCTCGTTATTCTCAACATACATTTTCCATGTTGCGTTGGGCACTCTGCAATTTATGAACAGCTTTCAGGCTTAGGGACCACGTTTCGCACCCTAAAGGTAGCATTGGAAAATATCGATTAACTCTTTGAAACACAAAGGCAGTTTCCCGGAACATGACATTATCAGCCTTCCAGAAGTGCCCCATGTCAATTTTATTCTTATGTTGATTTCATACAGTCGGTTTTCCATTACAGAAATAAAAAAGCAGAAACAAGCAGTTCAAGTACTTCTTCAAGTCGCAGATAATCGCTTATTAAAACGGTTCCGCATTTACTAAACATGACCTGACTGTTTTTCAGGTTCATTTTCAGTCAAACCTGGAAACTAACGTCTTTCACCTACAAGATTCTTTTCTGGAGTTACACTGGTGACCGTGAGAAGATCACAATATCGTCCGTAAACCGTAGGCAGCTTTAGGAGAGCCATGTATAGCTAGTCATGATTTTATTAATGAAGCGTCATGAAAACGTCTTCTAAGGTTTCACATCAGCAATTTCGGTAATATTGCATAACCATGTAGAACGCTCTACTCGGTTTTAAATCTACTTCTGCTTTCATGAATTTTTACACCAGCATTCTTGTAAATCATGGCGATGAAGTCTCTGAATCTTTTCTTGATTTCTTGGCTTCTGAGGGAATCCAGTATAGAACGGATATAGACTAAGCCGAAAGCTTTCTCGAAATCGATTATCCCCAGACAAAGGAAAAGCTCACATTCTTTATACGTCTGAATTATTCATGAGCCAGTTAGAGATGGACCATCGTTTTAAATTTATTTCTGAATCTTGTTGCTCCTTCGGCTGTGCAACGTACAGTTTTTCTTGAATTCTATCTGTCACTGTAACTTCGTGAAGAACTTGTAGATGATTGACAGCAAACTGATCGATGTATATTTCTCCAAATCCTCTTCGTCTTTCTTGTTGTTGTGCAGATTAATAGAAGCACCGATACCATGGTCCAATCGTCTGGAATTTTCAGTTCCTCCAAGAATATTCTAACAGGCATACCAATGCCTTGGTCGATGCCTCACATCCTGATTTCACGAGTTCCACAATTGTTGTCCCGTCTTCACCAGCAACTATTCTTAGTTTCGCATATTCCATTGCACGTCGTACCTTTTCTGTCATGGTATCTGGATATTTCTTCATACCAATGGAGCAATGAACGAACGTAGAGTTCGACGGCAAAGGGTCAATTTCTGACAGTCGGCCTTTCAGAGGCTTAACATTTGAGTGGAGTAAAATTTTAACCTCCTCTGATCGCATATTTCATCTCTGTAGACATTGTAAGAACTGTACTCAGGGGACAAATTAGCTGATTTGGACCATCACGGACAAACTACTAGAAAGATGGCACATAGACTGACCGCGAATCAGAGGCCATGATCATGCTTAATGCCTCGCATTGTCACGGTTTGAATGTTATGTCGGTGACAATGTCTGCTTGTTAGGGAACCAAGATTATTGGAGTGTCTCCAGAAGCGAATGGTTTTGTAATCTGAAAGAAATAACGAGCTTTGAAGATGAAAGATTAAATTGTGAAAACTGTTAAAGCTAGAATTCTTTCATTTTCAATGATCTTTCCCTCAAACGAATTATTGACATGGGAAATCCTTCTGAGCGATAGCACAGTGCTAGCAACCCGATTTCAGACTACGGGGAGCTCTGGGTTCGAAGTCCGAGAAGGGATGGACTTTGCATTTACCGCGAATTTCCTTGACCAAGGAATTTACGTCGCGTTGCTTCAATGCAAATAGCGCCGAGAAGCGGATATCTGATCGCTTACTTGCGAACAACGGGTGTAGCTTAATGATCTAGTATACAGGAAAGGGGGGGGGG